AGTACTGATGCGAACTAGTTCAACTTTTCGGTGCAAATGTTGCAAATATTGTAATGTTGTATATAAACTGTATAACCTCGTCAATATATAATACATGAAGCATAGTACATACATATTTTCAGCTCTGTTGCCATGAAAACTGTTTTATATGTATGCCTGGCATCGGTACATATATGTGTTACACTTTCAACGAATTAGTTATAGAAGAAATTATTTTCACATTTTTACCCATAACCACCGGGTTACTTTACTTATAACCCCTTGTTCGAAAATTAAGGTGGTGGACAGCATAATACTGATGAAAATATGAATATATAGAAACTGAAAAGTGATACAAATATAAATGACAGTTTTTTGCACTTGTACAGCTCTTTCGTCTGGAGGAATATGTTGTTATTTATTGTATCGATCGATCTGTCTATATTTTTACAGGAATCTGACGTGGTCATTAACACGACAACGCCATCTGGTCTAGATTCAAGCGATGTAGCTTACTACATATTCTACCTTTCCATATTATTCCTCATCACCTTGGCGAACATATTCGGCAATTTGTTAGTAATTACTTCAGTGGTCCGTTTCCGTCATCTACGAACTTCTTGTAACTACTGCATTGTGAATTTAGCCGTATCTGACTTGTTGATGGGAATCATTTACACACCATATAATATCAGTCATATGGAAGTGCCGGAGATCCAAAAGACCATGGGTGAGTAGACTACATTGCGACGAGCAAGGCTTTGCACTTCCTTTTTCATTCCAAAATCGAATAGTCTAGGTATATGAAATCATTGGGAAATGCAATCACACAGTCTTATGTGTGACATTTACATATTCATTCAGATATCAATGTCATGATTCCTCATGTTGATGTTGATATGTACGCTTTGGGGAGAAACGAGACAAACCCAGCTAAATTAGGAACAGGAAGTGGGAACATATCTCAGGGCATCAATAAAGTGTAATGGTTGTGAAAATACGATTCACAGAATTGATATTTATCGTTTTTATCGCATCAAGTGCAATCATTATATACTACAAACACTCGCCAAAAAACCAATGTTGTCAGTGAAAACAACCCTTCAACTTAGTGTAATCATCTGGGTCATTCTTTTTATCGGTTCTTGGAATTCAATACCACAGTGTAAGTACGCTGTAAAGTAACTCAAAATAAAGAATCACACGGATCGAATCAAGGTCGCATCGTCGGTACGTCATAACAATATCAGTAGAAACGCCTACCGTATTGCACGCATCGTAATCAGGACTCTTTGTAGGGAGTACTTACATTCGTACGAATTGGTAACAAGGAATCATGATGATACAGCTTTCTACGCAGAGTGCATATATAGAACATCCACAGAGAGTGAAATTGGTTTTCGGCCACCAGCTGGCACCTTAGTACCTCACTCATAACATATTCATCGATTTTACCAGTAAGAGAAATAAACAATCTGTTCAATCAAAAATTAATGTTGACGTAAATTGTCACAGGTTAGAAAGCGTTACAGCTTTTTTCACTTTGAGGCAAAATACATCTAATGACATTCGTTCGACCTTCACTTGATCCGCTCTTTATATCTTCAAATATCCGTATAATGACAGCTTTCTTATTAGCTTACTCAGTCATGCGAGCAAATCTCGTGTTACGATTTCTAGAGATAATTGATGCTGGTGAGATTACAAAGGTTCACTTGGTTTCTCTATCATAATGATATAATGCGTAATACATAACCATGCATTACGTGCCCTATGATGAGAAATTAAATACATTGCCAATCAGTCGAAGTATGTTGTCGTCAGCTTGGTATTTCATCTTTCTCACGGAAATAAACAAACAGTATACACGACTTGATACGAATTCTTTTGAATCACAAAATATACGCATTAGTTCCCTCTCGTCATTAATAAACATCAATTGCACGATATACGTCTATTGTAAATGCCATGGGGAAATGACTTGTAGTGTAGCCCTCATTTACATAATCACCCGTGCTGACATGTTGTCGAAAAGGTTCAAGTGTATATATGTCATATAAACTCATTTACGCAGTCGACCACTTTACTTTCACTACGAGATTCCGCGTTATGCGTAAAATCGAACGCAAAAACAAGACGAACACATATAGTCCACTCTCATCGCCATAGCAACAAAACAGCAACATTGCCAGCTGACTGGTTTGCAATACGCGTCTTAAGATCGTTCCATGCTTAGAAGTTCATTTTACGAGGTACGCCGTTCGGGTAAATGAGCACATTTATAAGCGTTGTGACACTCGCCAGACACACTGTTGATTGTTTCCTGGCATTTCAGACTATGCCAGTACATACACTTTGTTTGGATAAATTTACCATTGATTATATAGCAATAAATAAATTGCATCGTGATCAATTTATATTCAACACGTGACTATTAGTTTGATCTCTCCTAGTGAGGTACATAGCAAATCAGTCGGCAACTTAGCTGGCAATGTTGTTGTTTTGGTGTTTGGAACATTATGGCGGTGACAGCAATACTGTGCTATAATCATTGGATTGTGGTCGATTTTGATGTATGGGTATCTCAAGGCTATATTCTTTAAAAGATAGGCATTTCGACGTTGAGCTATTTGAAAAAAAAAATTAAGTTCAAAATCAAATAATTCTTGCGGCAAACATCAGCGCCATAAAACTCAATACGCGTGATCTCACACTGAACGGGAAATCATCTATTTATTTTGTAGCTTTCTGTATTGCAGTGGCGAAGCCCAGACATTAGTCGATTTGTCAAATACGTCCTTGAGAACGTTTACGCAGGTATATTCAGTTTACGAAAAGTTCAGCAGGATATCAATTAAGATTATTTCTACCCACAATACACCATGCGTTTATAATATCTGGCAGTACATACATTGAGAAGGGTACGGGCTCACCATCAATTGTAAATTTGCATAAATGAATATTTATAACTAGGTTTGTATAAATAGAACTCAATGTGTAAGAATGTAAGAATATATATATATATAATTTCGCTTTAGATTTAGATTTTGAACAGATGTTGTGAATATATTATAGTTATAATGTTCATTATTGTCAGCACGTGCAACCGAAATAATTAATATTGATAAACATTTAAGAATGATTTATTACAAACTGAAATGAAATGTATTAGATAGACCGAAATGATAAAAAGATACTGATACAAGTTATGTTAATATAGTAGGAACTTTTTCAATGCACATTTCAGTTCAAGAGAATTTACTTTCAGCAACACACGGATGTTTTATATTGTGCGAATTCCACGTGGTTTTACACGCATTTATAGAAATATCGATATCACCACAGCTTTAGCGAGAACTCGCATATGTCAGTAATCTAAATTCGCACAACATAAATCACGAGTAAATCTCGCTCTTCACGTTTGTTTGTCAGCAAGAAAAATAATAGAACACTCACATGTCCTCTAGTGTTAGCAATCTCTCTATATTAAAGTTTGATAAGGTACTTATTGATTCTCGTTGAGGAATTGTACTCGGCAACATTCAGTGAATATAATTATGTTCTCGCCAGCAGTCATGACAGAAATGATTGTTCGTATTCACTGAGAATTATATCGCTATAGGCAAGTAATTACTGGATGAATGGATGAAATAATAAGTTTTTGCACGCAATATTTATTGTTGGTTTAACAATATTCATATTCAAATTCAAATTAGCAGTGCATTGAGTAACTTATTCACTTTGCTTTAACACTGACCGTTAGTGCCATATAGCAATACAATTATTGTCATCACTACTTATCTAGATCATGGAATAATATGCATGTGAGTAAAGAACTGTACACACATGCCTTTATTCTTTGTGACAGTGACCTATTTAATTTTTAATTTAATATGTTTACATATCTGATTATTCATTGTCAAGGCTTAATTTAGATTTTTTGCAAACGTCTCAGAGTGTGGGTTTTTGTTTTTGGAATAATTGTGTGGGTAACCGTGAATCTTTTAGTCGAATTTTCCAAAAGTCATTTTACCGAATAATATTCTTAAAATTGATTTATGCAAAAAATGATGGTATCAACGGGGTCGACAACGTGAGACGACTGAATCATATGTATTTATCTATACGATTGTTAATATCATTCGAATGACATTGTTAACATGCTATGAGAACTTATTGTACATTTACATATGTTCATTTAAATACATTGAATTTGTCCCAAAGGCCATTATTTTCATACTTGCCTCTTTCTGTGATCCCCATTATTTCACTTGATACTGATTATACTTTGTATTGAATCATATACCAATAATGTGTCTCGGCTATACACCATTCTTAATAAACTTACGTACATTATATATACTAATATACTACATTATTTTAATTTCTAGACACGTGGTTGTTGTGTTTCTTCTTATTGGCTGGAGTGGAGGTTTTTCACTGCTGTTCTGCCTGGTCATTGGTTGCAATAACCGTGACTAGGTATATATCTATCACAGATCCATTAATGTACCACGAACGAGTAACTCCTCGACGTACGGCAATTGGAATATTATCAGTATGGGGATTCGCGTTTGTGTATTCTTGTGCGCAATATGCGCGTCCAGTCGGCGACGGTAGGTTTGGTCATTATTACAAAATTAATTCGTATGATTGATGTCATTATGCAAATATGCAAATTACAAATTATTTAAGGTTTAAGTACGCGGAGATCGATGCGACCACGTACTATGTGTGTATTATTATACGTCTAACAGCTTGGTATGTGAAGAATAATAATGAAATTAGTGGGAATGGGAATATAATCGTACAATATTTGGAATTTACTAATAAATTACAACACACTTGTGTTACGGTGTCAACGAACTATAGTAATTTCATGGATTTGCGGGTGTCATGCTTATGAGTACGTAAGACCACGTCGCATGCCACCTCGTCGCACAGAAATACATGTTAACTAAAACTATATACGAAGACATGCTACCGAATTAAAATATTTTTGTTGTTTTTTTTTTAAACAGTAAACTTCAACGGAATTTGTCGATACGAGTTAATGTATGATAAAGTATGGCATACTTTAATATTAACCACACTTGTTGTCCTAATACCATGGTTTGTGATGATAACTTTATATGCTAGAATATGGACTATAGCAAGGAGACAGGTAAGTCACCATGTCTTTATACATTGGTTTGCCGTAAATTATCACTTCTTTGTGTCAGCCTAAATGTTCGGTTTCCCTATTCATCGCTAGAGAAGTATGATGTGGAACTTACGATAACTATTTTTCCCATGGATGTTGAAAAGCTGAATGGGATTATAAGGATTAGATGTATCATAATTTTGAAATTGATTCATACATATATGCAAATCAGTTTGCTGTGTTGATTCATGTTTTCTGTCTCTCATCAGGTGAGGGCCATCAATTGGGAAGAAGGGACTGCCTTCAAACGAGAATGGAAAGTCACTAAAATGGTTGCGTTAGTTCTTGGTTATTTTGTTCTGGCTTGGTTTCCTATGTTATTATTTCTCTTTTTCGGGCTGTCGTGTCAATGTGAAATAAACCGTTATTTCAGGTAAAGATTTCCCTGTGGTGTCCAATTAATTACTTCAAGTGATATCTGCCGTTACATTTATTAAAATTACGATTTAGAATCGAGTAAACAATTTTAGTGTTTCAGTATCGATTCCAATATGGTTTTGTAAAGGCCTCCAGAAAATGAGTAATAGGAATATCAAAATTTTGATTCAGTATTAGTATGTAAGTCTAGCCTATTTCATGGAATTCATACCAATCACTGGGAGGTATATTTATTGATTGTTTCATGCTTCATATTACGCTGATCACGGTTATGAGACTGATTGATTCAAACTACTGGGCTACTCTTGGTTCAATCTGCTATGCGAACCCGCACGTTAACAGCATCCAACTCTGAAATCTAATTATCGACATTAGTGCGGATCACGTAGTTCTCGCTAATTGCAATTTAACTTTAATTTAGTGTCTAGTATCAATCGGAACTATGTCGGGTTGTTGCTAGGATTTGTGGCACTGCACTACGCTTTGTACAATGCACCGAAAACGTCGCTTGTGTCGCTAAAATGGCGTCACATTAAATGTTATTTATAAAAGTGTATTGCATGACCCTATATATAGGTTTCTTATATATTTATTATATAAATATGTATATTTATATATTTATCTTTAGCCTGATCAACATTCTGTTGTTAATTTTACAGGGCCGTCGGACGAATAATGCTGCATAGCAACTCGGCAATCAATGTCGTGATTTACGGAATTTGCAATCCAGAATTCCGAGTAGCGTTCAGGAGAATACTTCTACAGGTGTTTTGTTGCAAGAAAGTACTTCCAAATGGGAATGTCAGTAATTGGTAGGGATATTTCTTCACTACTATTCAATACTTTTATTTATGGGTAGGTTCACAGGACAGTTTTTCAGATATAATGCATCGAATTAGCCAGTCTAAGAATAAAGCATGGGAGTTATGCATTGTGTCTTGTTTGTATTTTAATGACCTGAACATCGCCTGTGATAATTGCATGGAGGTATTGAGTATGGTTATGCATATTAATTAGGACTACAACAACCGTTTATGTTATCAATAGACAATATGTCTGAATAAATAATATTCATTTATTATATTCATGAATAATATTCATTTATATATTTATCTTGAGACCTGGTAAACCTTAAAATATGCGATGCTCACAATAATGTTTTTCTGAAACGCTATACATCAAAAACTTGTTTGTTTGGCAAGACAAGATATGTACGAGATATTGAACTGACAAAAACAAGAGAAGTTGCACGTATTAAATAGAAAATAACATTATCTGTTTATTGGTTTGTCACAGCTGCCATGATAACAAATTCAAAACAAAAAGAACTTGATAGACGATATAAATATGGAGGTTTTATCCACCTCTATAAACGCTTTATTTTGAATAATGATGTATAGAAAATTGCAGTAGGTCGTCTAAATCTACGTACACACTAGTGTCTTAAACAGTGTGGGAGCAGTTTCATTATAGAAATAAAATGGGCTTACTGAATTCAAAATGATGTCAATTCTAACAAAATGCGGTCGATAACGCATGTTTTATCCTAAAGAGACGGACAACAGGTGTTCGTTTGTTTTTCTTTCCATCAAAACTTTACAAATGGTCTTGCCAAGGTGACACTGCATTTATTGTGTCATATAAGCGATTAGAAAATTTAAATAGCACGAAATGAACGACTTATTCGAATTTGCATATTTGTCAATAAGGATTGGTGGGTTGTTACAATCTGAAGATAGGGTGCCACTTGTTGAAGGCTAGTGAGCTATGTCTTACTAGAAAAACATATGACCTATATTCCATACATCTTCTTAAATGTTGAGACATATATACACAACAAGCTGGGGCTGAGGGAATGTTACTTGAAATATTGATAATTTTAAAATTGAAATAATCCCACTTATAGAACAGCTTAGTGTGAAAACCATTAGGTTTACTTTGGAGAAACAAATCAAGGTAGGATGCTGAAATTATGTTCTCTGTGGCGTCGTTGATGGTTACTTCTTCAAGATAAGTCAAGTGAACATAACTAGAACAATCATTTTAATTTTTCAATTTAAGTTCCATGGATCTGTACGTGTTTTTGAAGCTTTTTCTCCGATTTAACAAGATATTGTAAAAGAAATTGCGCCATGCGAATACAACAACAGTCTATCTAAATAGTAATCCACCAAATTGAGAAATATATGAGAAAATGATATCCAGAGTTATGCATTATGACAATGAACTTATATATGTGTGTACTAGTTTTGTAATAGAAGGCCTGCTTTTCTAATAAAACTAGTCCATATTTAAGTATATTGTGTTGTATATTTATTTATAGTGTACATAAAAATCAAAAATACTATTGTTATCGAAATCATTATATCTCTGTTCATAAATAGAATTTTCAAAATGCACATTTCATTGATCCCTCTGGTTTCATAAACAGTTTCACAATATCGATCAAGACCATGCTTAATTTTTTGTTAATATTATTGTTAATAATTGCGACCATTTAGTCGACTATAAATCTGTGACTAATTGTTTTAGTTACACGTGAATACTTTTTTTAATAAAATATACGTCTACCATGAGAACCATTAATTAATTTATTAGATTTATATGCATTATTGTATTTGTCAACATTTGGTCGCATTCTTACCTATTCTGTTCATAAACTTGTTTTCAGTTTGTGATTCACTCAATAAGTGTTTTGGGTTTCTGGTTATATTCATAATTTAATACATGTTCGTGTACCTGAGCTTAGGGTGGTTGGTGGCGCACTAGTCTTACTTTATATTTCTATATATTGATGTATCGTGTACAAATACAACATATTATAGTGCCCTGGATTTCTCTGAAGCCCTTGTTTTCTAATTATATTCGCCACGTACATAATGTCGTTAAATAAACATATCAAACATATATCACAACTAATAAACTGTGTATTTCCTAGTAGTGTTTATTTATCATGTTGTCTTATAATTCTAGTGGAGGCTTTCGTACTCCTGGATTGCGATATAATTTTATAGATGATTGTGCTATTACGTTTTTTTAACTTTATTTCGCCTTTATGCATGTGGCACTACATGCATTGCATATTTGTTTAACATTAGATAATTGTATAATATTGCACGAGACTAAACTAAAAAAATAGAAAAACTAATATAAACCTAATAATTAACTGACACAAATTATTTTTTTTATATTGTTATTGCTTTCAGGAAAGGAACAATAATTCATAAAAGAAAGGGCAGGCTGGCGAAATTGTGTGATGGAAAACGACCTTTTAAAATTACTTTTCTATGAATAACCGATTGTTTCAACTTCTCTGGAAGACTAACTAATTGTGATCAATATTTCTTGTATTCCACGTTAACAAGACGAGGATCATATATTGATTTAACAAAACAAGTGTACCATTAGAAGATGCCTTAGTTACCAATTGTGACTTACATGTTAAACCATTTAAATGTTGTAACGTGTCGGATATTCGCATGTTATGATAAACATTGGACATGTATGTGAGGACCTGGACAATGGACGGTTTATATGCCACCTTACAGTGACGATGCTGGTCATCATCCAATGCCATTCTGTACCACCATTCCGTTTCCTTCCCTGTCGTCACCGATATTACCTCGTTATCCATAAACCACCAGCTTTTCCGCTTGTCCTGAAAATCGCAAGTCAGGTTCATATTTACAGATCACGTAGTACATTTGGACATCGGGTTTTTCGTAATCACGAAGATGCAGCGGTGTTGCAGAGTACGACATTGTAATATCTCAGGTGTATTTATTTTAATTACACTATGATAATCGCTGATATTAAATTATTTGTTGTTACCATCGTCGACTCTGCTTCGATATGTTATGTTCATATCTTCCCTACATGCTATGTAGTTTTCTCAATTCTTGTCTCATGAACAAACATGATTATATTAATTAATTATCTATTATGAGTTTATCCGTATGCATACACATAGCTAGTGTACGATTGTATTTATTTAATTAAAGCGGGGAGTCGTCACCTACGCATGCGTCAGATAGCCATAGCGTGTCATTGTTTACGAGCAAGCGTCTATCCATGATACTTTGCGTTTTTAGCGTGTGTTGTTATCGTCGCTTGAGACTCAATTCCAGCGCGTGCGCAGATGACGACCATCCCGCTTTAAAGTTACCGTTCCATTCAGTGGATATATTTATTAAATGTTTTTTATACCGTCCTAAAAGTCGATTTGTCGATAATTACTTCTTATGTAATGCTGTACCTTGCGTCTTTACGTTATAATCATGCAACCAAAGAATGAACAAGTACATCTGACAGGATAAACCTTGTTTCGATATAAACTGGTCACATTATAATATAACATTATAATATGTGATGCGTGTTTAGTTAAGTAATGTATTAATTATCAATCAAAATATGTCCAGTCATTGTTGCAACAAGATTAGACGGGGAAGTTTATTTTTGCACAAAATATTCATTAGTAATAGTAACCTCACATGTATGCGATGTTCTGGATTGGGGTTAAAGAGGCAGGATCTTTAATCAAACATTTGTTGACAATGGTTAACCAACATATAATTTAACAAGCAATAAAACACCTCAAACTGATAGTGTATGCTGGTATATTTGTATTCGAAGTATAACAGTTTATATATTTCATGTTATATAATATAGATGTAAATCTGTTTTGTGAAATGTAAAATAAATATAATTCATATTTACCACAACTGTGTGATCATTACCATGTCACCAATCTCAATGTATATCGTCGTGATGTGGCTGGTATTTTACGTGCTACCGTTCTCAAGGAGTCCCCATTATGTTGGTGTTTCATTACCAACATACACAATTCCAGTGTATTGTTTTAAGGTAGAAGCCTGTTCATAATTTTTGACAAAATTGGTCACAAATCGCATGACAATGTTTATTATGTCCTATCTTGCAGCTAATGTCCTATGGTACAATGAAATAGCATTATTTTATGTGTTACAGTTAAGTTTTTTGAGAAACGTGTTCTAATATTTCTTGAAAATCGCTATTTTTAGAACAATTCCATAGAACACAATGTTAAAAAAATTGCATTTTTTGACATTTTTTAAAACCCAGATTTTTTCAGAACAACAAAAAATACTCTATCATTAACAATATATGATTTTTTTCAGCCTATGTCACCAGGCTAGATTTTGATACCACAACCTGAGGGTTACACGACTAGTAATGTAATTGCCAAGCACTAATCTCTTACCAATTTAGCCAAACTAACCAAATAACTGGCAAAGAATTTCTTCATAGTTTTGTCCATGATTATATAAACTTTGACACAAGAAAATTATACATAGTCTTGTTATATGTATGAAAATATGTAATATTCGTAAAAAAGGAAGATAACATAATAACGTTCTCCCTTAACCTCAACTCGGCCGTCTTTATGATTATTTTTATTACGTCAATATCTCATTTTCAATAAAGTAAATGATAGCAGCGAATAAAACATTTGCTTGTTGATTTTAGACTGCCACCCCCACCCCACCCCCCCGTGTGACCAGCATTCAATATTAGCTCATGCCCATTTTTCTGTGAGAAAGTTGTCACGTGAAAAGTCTGCAAAATCGCAACGACACACGCTGAGGTTGGTGACAAAATGTTGAAATATGTGTATGCCGGCGTCTGTGTGAATGGGCTACACAACTGAATGTCGGGTACGCAACCTTGCAAGATAAAACACGTAATTACTGGTAAATGTTTTGGCCGGGCAGACTATGCATTTAGGATATCAATAGTCGTAAAATTATCGATTTCATACTCCCAGAGAAAATCCCTTG